TCCATGGTAGGCTCAAGAACCCACTGGTATTCGGGGGTGCGTGCATTTTTCCTGGGTCCAGAAGCAGTCTGCCAAGTGAGCAATCCAGTGCCCTGGGCCTCGGCTGTCATTCTGTTTTAGGAAGTGTCTACACTGCTGTGAATTATTGCTAAGTATTAAATCTTAAGACAAGATAGAAAGATAGAAACTGCATTGAGAGGTTATAGGCTATAGGTCTTCATAGCAAAACTAAAGAGGAGAAATCCAAGAGGAGGCAAGTATCCACAGAACGAAACGGGCAGCAAAGGGGCATGAACACAAAGGCTACTCTTCTCACTACCCGCCCTCCCCTGCCACCCAGCAGCACGCTCGGAGCTGAGGCCCAGGTGGGCGGACACAGGGCACCTGGCGCCCCCGCCGCATTGCCCTAAGCTGGACTGATCCCAAGTCACGCAGCCTGGGGTCCTGTCCCGCGTCTGCCGACCTGGCCGTCAGGGTGGGTGCCTGTCCGGCACGCCGCTCACCCCTGGCGGGCTCTTCTTTCCCACGTAGCCGAGGGACAGTTAAAAGCACAATGAAGGTGCGAACTCGCGTCTCCAGGTTGCTCTGAACTTCACCAGGCCCCACACGTCACGTCGGGTGAAAGAGAGGACCTGGGGCTTTTTCTTGTATAATCTGCACGCTGAATCACCGCTGAGGTCAGAGAACACTTCACTCACGCGGAGGAATGGTAAGCTGGACTTCCTGCGGCGCTCCTCATTCTGAGAGTATTGTTTACTTGGATTTAGATCAACAACGCCGGTAGATGTCTGTTATTCTTAGATTAAGTGTTGTTCAGCTCTTTATCGAATCCTTCCCATAAATAGGAAGGACTTAACTTCAGAATCGAAATTATTCATTTAAAGGGCTCAAGAACAAATAGATCACCATTTTGTCTTTTTTTAACCTGATGTCAGAAATGACTGAGCAACGTCGGTCCTGCCTGGACTCAGCATGGGAGGTGCTGACCGCCTGCATGCCCCCCACCCCGAGCCACATCCGGCAGGGCTGGTTCCCAACCATGCGTGTCACCTCGAGTCTGGGGCAGGCCTGAGGCAGTCCCCCTCTGTCACTTTCCACCCGGGGGAGCGGATGAACAGTTTATAATCATTTTATCCCTGAATTCAGCAAAACCAGAACAAGAATAGGGGCAAACTCATATGATCGCCTTGAGGATCAAGTGGGATAAAAAGTATGTGCTTAGCACAGTGTCTGTGAAGTAATCCATTGGTTGTTTTGAGGCCTGGATCATTATCGTCCAAGGTGAAGTTACTGAAGCCTGATTTTATATAAAAGTTGGAGCCCTTTCAAGATTAGGTTTTTCTGGGTTAGTAACACTGATACTTCTTAATCCCAGTCGTGGAGAAAATCCAGAGTTTGGCATTAGCTCCCAAACTGCCCCTCCCCCTTGCCAAGTCTGTGACTGACCTCCAGGGACACCTGACCCTGGGGACGCATCACCTACCTCTGGGCCCCTCTGTGACGGCAGCCCAGGCCTCCCTGCATTTATCATCCCACCATCCTGTCCTCCGCCTACACCGTCTGCCACCCAGTCTTATTTATTTCCTGGCAGTGTAAACAAAGATGACAGACAGCCGAACCCACTGCAGGCTGACCCTAGTGGTGATGAAAGATCTGAGTCACGCACTCACCGCATCCTGTTTATTCAAAGCCTCCGGCCTCCCAACGTTGGATGGAGCCACAGGCATGCCCGTGTGCGGCTGTCGGCGAGCCCCCAGTTGGGTCTCAAAGTCTTACCACGTAGGCCGCACCTGATCAGACCCATGGCAGCCTCCACCAGGGCCAGGGAGCACAGGGGCTCCATCCCACACGCATGGGGGGCTCACACCTGCACCCAGTGCTGCCGTCACGACTAAGCCAGGGGAGGGAGGCTGTCACTAGCAGGGTGTGTGGCTCAGACGAGCCCTCCATCGGGGGAGCCTTCATTTATACCATCCCCAGTAAGACTCACCCAGCGGCACGCAGAATCTGGAACCGCTTTTCCTCGGTGGCCCCTGCGTCTGGCGTGTAGACACAGACTGGAAGGCAGGAGTCGAGGGCCAGTCCCCGCACAGACGCCGTCTGCGGGTTCTGAGCTGGAGGCCGAGCTGCAGTCACGGCGGTGGGTCCCAGCCCTGGGTTAGAATCAGTGGTTCTCAGAGTGCAGCCCTTGGACGGGCAACTCTAGTATTATATTATCTGTGAGCGTCTTGGAAATACAAGTTCATGGGCCATCTCCCAACCTTCTGAATCAGACTCCCTGATGACAGGGGTCATTCGCGATTTGGACAAGGGGAGTGCTAGGTGTATTTTCAGTGGGTGCCCACTTCCATCCATGCCACAGGCAGCGTGCTGGGGCAGGGCTCACAAGGCGAGGCCCAGGCGTCCGCGTTCAGGGAAGATGCAGTCGCGTGTCGCACAGAGTGCTGGAAGCTTGCGGGATGGAGAAGGCCGGCGACGAGGGGAGGCCCTGTCTGAGATAAGCCTGGAGCTGAGCCGCTGAGGATGGACAGATGTGTGCAGGCGTGTGAAGGAGGGCCATTCCAGGGCACGGATGGGCAGCGCCCCGCTAACCCCGGGGAACGGAGGGCAGTCACGAGCCGTCCGTGGCTGAGCTTAGACGTGGGACTGGGTGGGGCGGCTCCAGGTCAGGGAGACAGGAGACTCGGAGACAAGCAGGTGGAGGTGGTGTGTGTGTACCAGCGTGTGTGAGGAAGACTGTCCTCCAGCACGGGGACCCCCTGCTGTGAAGACAGCCCTCCTTGCGTGCCCCCCGCAAGCAGCTCCGAGACAGCACTGGCCATAATGGAATTCACTTTTCTAACTGGGTTCGCATCAGGTCAGCCTAATTCCCTATAACACAAGTGACAAAACTTGAGTGTACACTGGCCTGCGTGTGTGATTGCTTTGGAATAGTTGTGCATTCTGAATGGAAGAGCCATGAATAGAGTGGATTGTTCCAGAGGGCCACCATTTGCAGCCTGAACTGGGTGACATGTGAAAGAACGTTCCCCCTGGGAAGGAGCAAGCATAATTTACTCTGTGTCTGTGGCCTCCACCTGACACACCGCAGCACCGTGTCCAGGCCTGAGAAGGAACAGAGAGAACTTTCTCAGAGCGCACAAGTTTGAAGCCACCACCTTCCTGTGTAATGAGAGCGTTTGTAAGGGTCAGCGAGGGCACAGCAGTGGGGACCGGCGGTCCGCTACCACTCTCACCAGAATATGCAATTCCATGTCAGCGGCATGTTTTTGGAATGATACACGACCTGCAGATAACTCGGCACGCTCCAGTCTGTAAAGCACCGGGCTCAAAGTGTTCAAACCCAAAACCAAACCCTCTCATCAGATGGTCCCTTTGATTCCAGTCTCCACAGAAACTGGGTAGTCAGATGCGTTAGGGTATTTTTGTCTTTGGAGTGTTTGTATGGCTGGGAATCAGGGCACGTGTGGAGACGAAAAGCCAGACGCCTCAGCCGGCATCTGAGCCGTGGTCCGGAGACACCGCACCGGGCGCGGAGATGCGGCTGAGAAGCAGAAGCAGAAGTTGCTACTGGTGACGGCAGATTCAAAGTTGAACCCACAGAGTGACAAAACCGTGGAGAAACTTCCTGAAAACAGGCAGCTCTGACATTGCCTGACTGGGAAGAGGATTGGAGTCTTCTTTATAAACCAAGTGTCAATGTGTGTGTGTGTGTGTGTGTGTGCGCGCGCGCGCGCACGTGTGGGCATGTGTGTGCGCGGGCATGTGTGTGTGGTGAGGGCATGTGCATGTGTGTACATGGGTGCATATGTGTGCGTGTGCCCATGCGTGTGTGCGCGTATGTGGGCGTGTATGTGTGGGCACGTGCATGTGTGTGAGCGTGCATGTGTGTATGCTGCACATGTGCAGTGTGCATGCACGTGTATGTGTGTGCATGGGTGTGCTTGGGTGCTGTGCGTGCATGTATTGCATGCATGGGCATGTGGGAGTCCTGTGCGTGCGTGTGTGTGTGTGTAAAACACATCGCCAAAGAGGCATGAGCAGACACCGTGTTCAGGGTCAGCAGCAGCATCTCTGCCGTGAGGACCTGGAACCCGAGTCCTGAACCACGTAATCGGGGCAGGGTGCTCTTCAGAGAGGATTTGCTGCCTGTTGTTTCCTTTTAGACTAGAATAAAACCTCCTTTTGTTAAATGCATTGAAGGCAGAGATTTTCTTTGCCTTCAAAAAATCAATCCCTTCGTCTCAGGAGGCCAGAGGCAGGCCGTTCACACACGGGGACAGTCCCTCCGGCTCCCAGGACCAGTGTGAAGTGACCCACGCCAGCACCAGGAGCGTCAGACCCAGCGCTGAGCATGGCTGGCTTTGCGCCGGGGGCGGGGACGTGGGCCCCGACGAGCACCCACCTCACGGAAAGCAGATGTTTCTCAGATAAAGCGTCTGCACGTGTCTGGACTCGGATAACGTGGGCGGGCGGCTCCACTGCACTTGTCTCCAGGGCGCTCGCCGTGGGCTTGGCAGGTTGTCCCTGTTCCGGGACGGCTCTGGGGTCAGGCTCGCGGTCACAGGGGGGCAGGGTGGGAGGCAGTGCGAAGAGCGAGCGGAGCGCCGTTGGAAGCCGCGGGTCCACTTGGGGCCGCGTGCCCGGGGCCTGCGTCCCCTCAGCCCCGGGACACCGTGCGCGTCTGGTCACCGTGAAGCTACACCAGGACCGCCAGTGGCTGCCCCGCCCGGGGCCCCTAACTGTTCAGAAAACACAGCCATCGGGGGGCGCCGGGGGGTCAGTCAGCTGAGCCTCCGATTCCCGATCCCGGCTCAGGTCGCGATGTCACAGTTCGTGAGTTTGAGCCTCACATTGGGCTCTGTGCTGGCAGTGCAGAGCCTGCTTGGGATCCCCTCTCTCTCTCTCTGTCTCTCTCTCTCTCTCTGTCTCTCTCTCTCTCTCTGTCTCTCTCTCTAAACAAATAAACTTAAAGGGAAAAGCAAGCACGGCCGTCAATGATGACTTTCGCGCCGTCTGAGTCCGGGAAGGAGGGCTCTGAACTGGACAAGGGCCCTGTCTCGCGGTGTGAACGCGGGTACGTGCACAGGCGCCCGCGGAAGCTCGGGTCCTCGGGTGCCCAGCGTGGGGCCTGGCGGCACCGGCTGAGCACCACGGGTGCTGTGCTGCACTCAGCTCCTGGCAGCCGGCCTGGTCAGGACGGTGGGCGGCGATGAGAGGGGAGCGCGTAGGGGTGAGGAGGTCAGCAGGGGCGGGGCTGCGTGGCAGAGGCCCAGCGTGGAGAGCCAGCGCCCGTGCATGTCCAACCCTCGGGTGATGGGGCGGGGGCTGCAGGCAAAGAACCAGCGTAACCCCACAGACCCCTGTTTTGTCTGCTGCGATCCCAGATTTGGGGAGAAGAGCTGAAGACAAGACGGGAGAGTGTGGACAGTCGTACTGATGCCTGATGGGGCGGCGGAGGGGTTGGGTGCTGGAGCACGGCCCTCACGTCTTCCTCCCCAGACAGAGCCTCCCCGACCTGTCTCCCTCCTCGCCGGCGCTCTCGGGGCGGATGGTGTCCCCGTGTCCCGCTCCTCCCCACTCTGCCCGCCCTGGGCCACCGCACCCCCCACGGGCTCAGACCCATTTCTTGTCGCTCAATGTCGCTTCCCCCGGGAAGCGTTTCTGGACCCCAGCCCTAAGCAAACTCACCTGGAGAGTTGCTGAGCGAGTGTGCAAACTGCCCTCCCCGTGAAATTCACCTTAGTATTTCTTTTTATTTTAAGTAAGCCCCATGCCCCGCGCATCAGGACCCTGACACCGAGTCAAGCTGTGCCGCCTGAGCCTATGCCCCCCCCCCCATTTCCGGCTGGGTCTGAGTGTCCCAGGTGAACAGTCACTGCCGGGAAGGCAGTCGTGAGCCTGTCCTGCTCACGGACCTCCCCTCGGGCGGCTGACTCCAGCCCACAACCCCCCTTAGACACCCCTGCTCGCCCGCACATCTGTTACAGGCCACCCCTTTACAGCGTGCCGTGCTGACTGCCTACTCTTCGTCTTCATTCCGAGCAGCCCGCCACTGACTGGCATCATTCTTTCTAGCAGTTTTCCGTGGATGGAGCTTGCATTTCATTTGGAAACAACTAATGGCTTTGGAACAGGCCCTTCCCAAGAAAGCCGTAGATTCCGCAGGATTGTGCAAATAGGACGCTTTCTCATCTCCGTAGAGACACCACGTGCCAGCGACTACCCTGAAGGCGTGTCTTGTGGTCAGAGACAGTGTCGCAGTTCATGGAGGCACTTCCACGTGCGAGCTTCCTCCACGCTGCGGCCGCTGCTGGGTGGTTCCGTCTGTCCCACTGAGTGAACCACACCATGTGGGTGCTCCTGCCAGGGTGCTCCCGCCGGGTGGCTTCAGGCGGTCCTGTAACTGTTCAGACTGACCTCAGGGCCTACTGTGCTGCGGGCAAATACGGGATCCTTGGTTGGGGTTGTTACAATATAATCTTGGAAACAGCAGACTTAATAGTAAAAATTGCTTTCAAAATTATTACCCAGAAGTATCACCTTTTTGCAGGAAACTAAGCTTTTTGATTAAAAAAAAAAAAATAGTGCCACCAAAGAACCATAAATCACTTTCTTTAAAATATAAAACTGAGACAGATCATTGAATGATCTAGAATGCACACATGCCTAATAGTTGCCAAATAGGGGATGAGTCCGTGGGTCCGGCTCAAGGAGTCAGGATGCCAGGCAGGGGGAGTTGACAGGCGTCTGCCCAGCCCCCGCTTCCTCCTGCGACACCCCCCGCCCCGGCTTCATGCAAACTGTGGTCTTTGTTTCTCGAGCCTCAGGGGACCTGGAGACATTCTCGCGTCAGTGGGGCTGCAAGATTGTGAAGGGCGTCCTGTGTACGGGCAGATGGAATACGTCAGATCAGGCACTGGTCTGCATTCTAAAAAGGATCTAAATCCAGAAGGTTGCTCTCAGGTTATAGTTACAGCCCCTAAAAGCAGTCACGGGGCGGGAGCCACAGGAATAGTCTCAGCGGGAAAACCAGAGCTTCGAGCTCACCGTTCGGGTTCGACGCAGCGCCCCGCGACTCGTGCGGGCTGTCCGTGCCGCGAAGAGAGCTGCGTTCCCGCCCGTGCTTCTGGGCGCCCTGTCTCCTAGAAACATAGGTTTGGATCCTTAATTAGTAGCTGCCTGAGCCGCCCCGAATACTAATAGGGAAAGCTGATGGCTGCAACTCCACGCCTCCGCTCTCGCAGGACAGATGGTCCCCTGCACACCGAGCTCCAGGCAGCCTCGCTTCCAAGTAAACTGATACCGGATATTTACTAAAAATGGCATCTTCCATCCAGGTGCTTTTCTGGCTCACTTGCCACTTCTGTCCCCTCTGCTGATGAAGTTCAGCTGCCCTAGCGAATGGCCGCCGCGGCAGTCCCTCAGCACCCGTCTCTGCGTCCCGAGGACTCGCCCTTCCTCCGGCCTGGGCTGGCCACGGCGACACACGGCCCACGCCTGCCTCGTGGGTCCCGTCCTCCAGGGCACACGCGTCCCTCTCGCTCAGGCAGCCGCCTCAAGGAAGATGCAGACAGTGACACAACCAGGTCGTCCTGGACACGCGCTCTGGTCTCTGGTCTCAGTGAGGCCTGGGCTCTCTTCCTGTAACGGCTTTCAAAGGTAGAGAATTTTCGAGATTTTAGTAACTGTGTCATTTAGGTTAGCTTACTGTCCTAAGTAACGGAGTGTTTTCCCATAGTTTGGAAACTGTGTTCTGTGATTTTAGGTGAAAGTCACTCCAGTGTGTGTTATACGTTATTTTCATTGTGTTGAGCCAGACGAGATCACTGATTTTCCGCTGTTTCTAACCTTCCGCAGCAGCGGCGTCCCATGGCTCAACCCAGAACATTCTGGTGAGGTCTGTCAGGTGGCACCACAGATAGTGTTTGGGCTTCCGGGTGCTAATGAAGCCCTTTCCGCAGAGTGGTGTGTGAGTGTGTCTGACCTTTCGTCCGCCTCTAGGCCAGCTCCGACTCCCCGGCAGAGCAGGCCTGGGCGGGCCTGGACGTCACAGGCCGGGGCTCCAGGTCCCAGGAGTGTTTCACGGGAAGGCAGGGTTTTCACTGAGCCCCGCGGACACGGCGGACATGGCGGTGGCGTGCAGGCTTAGCAAGGGCACATGGATGGCATCTTGAGCCCTAGGCATGAAGAGCGAGGGGAGGGGGGAGCTTGGAAGGGACTCCTGGGCAGAGGGGAGGGAGAGAGCCGTCTCTGGTTCTGCAGGGCACCTGGGCTCCGTGACACGGGCCGGCCTCCCTCCCAGGACGGTGTGCACCAGAGAGATCCGCTGCGTCAGGCGCACACGCCGGGCCGCCGTGCTCTCCTGAGACCCGATGCGGTAAGCCCTGAGAGACTGTCGCTGTCACACGGTTCTCGCTCCTTTTTTGAAGGCATGATCTGCGTTATCCGTAATTAACACTGCAACCCAGGGGTCCCTGAAAGGCGTTCTGTCGCTGTCAGGAGAGCTGCGCGTGGGCCTGCGCTCGTTTCCCCCTCCCGTTGGCACGTAGCTGCAGCACCAAGCATGTGTCATGTGTAAAACCAGTTAATCACACACAGACGTGAATATGAGCCGGCCTCTCGCCCCGACAGACATGCCAGTTTTGTCTAGCACCTCTCTGCTGGCATTTTAAATTCTTCTGTTTTCCTAACGGGGAGCCGAGAGTGCCGAGGAAGGTTTGGTACCTCGAAACTGCTCGCCCCTTAGGGAGTGAAGTCAGCTCTGTCGCCCCTGGTTCTGAGGCAGGGCTCTGCGAGCCACCCGGGCGGCGGCGGGAACAGTGCGGGGCCTCCGGGACCATGCTTCCCCCCAACCGGCTGTGGCTCCCACAGTCCGGACATCTTTCCTGGTCACTGCTCCCTTGAAACCCGGCACCGTGTGCGTTCAAGGACGGAGCCCGTCCATCTGCAATTATTCTATGTCTAAGGACACTTACCACACACGCCGTGGCTGCCTCCCTGCACCCAGGCGGCTTCTTACTGAGCTCGCGTCTCATGCCTGGTTGTTCGCACCTGCTGGGAAGAAACCAAACTTTTCTGGATTTTTAAACAAGTATGAATGGACTTTTAAATTTTTCAATTGAAAAATAGTGGGGGAGAAGGAGGGAGGCAAACCATGAGAGACTCTTGAATGCTGAGAACAAACTGAGGACTGATGGTGTGGAGGGAGGGGAAGGGGGTGATGGGCACAGAGGGAGCACTTGTGGGGATGAGCACTGGGTGTTATATGGAAACCAGCTTGACAGTAAACTATTAAAAAAGAAAAACAATTTAAAAAAAAAGGATGGAAACAAGTCCTGACCTGCACACTTGGTGGGGCTGTGTCTTATCTTACGTTCTCCTCACAACAGCCCCTAAGGATTAAGGTGATAGAGTTTCGCCGATGAAGCGAACAGGGTCCCGAAATTTGGGACCCCAACCCCGCTGTGTGAGGTGCAGGAGGGGATTCGATGACAGGGTCTTAAGTTACAGGAATGGAGAGGCTTTCTCCTTTCTTTAGATCCCGTAGATAATTTCTTTTCCTTTTTTAACATCCTTTAGGGTCAGGGCAGCCTTTTCCCAACTTTAAAGCTGAAACCCCTAAACCCCTGTGCTGTGGAAGCGTCTCCTGCAGAATGTGAGGGGCAGTGAGGAGTCAGCCGTCGGCTAGAGAAGCCCCTTCCTGTGGGGGCTGCAGGGTGCCCCCCGGGAACCGGATAGCGGGTGTGCTCTCTCCTTCACTAGACCTTCCACGCGGGTCTTTGTGCTCGTAGGGACACAGAAAACGCTCTGTCTGTGGAACACAAAAGGCACAGTAATATTTGGGAAAGAGCTGAAATTGGAAAACCCACTCTCACGTCCTGTGCCCATGAACTAGAATAGCGACCACTCGGCGACCTTGGAGAAGAGGAGGAGGGGAGCCCGGCCGGGTCCACGCTGGAAAGAAACCAGTTTTCCCCCACCGTTGTGTGTCAGGCGGGTATAAACTAATTTAATTCCTCCTCTGCTGTAGCTCGGCCCTCGGGACCGGGCCGAGCCGCGTGGGTTGCTTGGCAACAGGTGCCGAGGGAGTGGAGGCAGCAGGAATGAGCGACGGCCGGCGGGTGAGAGGCTGGGCCACCTTCCGGAGAAGCCTTATCTCCGTGACACACGCCAGGCCCCCTGCCCCACGGGCCCGGCGGCGCAGGATCTGTGGGATCCATTTTACCGTCAAAGGACTGATCCGAGAAGAAAACGGTACTTTCCAGTCGATGGCTCAAACCGTTGTGCCTCCTCCCGTCACCCGAGAAATGCTAAGCGACAGTAACAGTCAGGCCGACCACGGACTAAATGCGAGGCCCGACTTGGTGGTTTTATTCGTTAACAGTAACACACAGTAGGGACTGCTGTGTTGTGTGCTTTGTAAAACCACACGTGAAGAGAAGTGCCAGCATCGTTCCATGTGTAAGTGGATGGCCGTGTCCCCGGGGTCCTTCGGGAACCCGCCGCACGGCTCCTCTGTCCCCGGTGGGCCACACAGGTCCCGGCCGGCCGTGCCGATACGCCTCCCCCGGTGACCATCGGGGTGGTCTGGGCATCACCCGGGCAGGGGAGGCGGTGAGGGGTCTGAGCCCCAGCCCAGGACCCGGGCGCCTGAGGCGTCACGTCGCATCGGATGCCGAGGCTGCTTGTGCTTCCCAGCGAGCGCTGCTGGCATCCCAGGCTCACCGGCCAGCCCGTGGCGCCGCCCAGCCTGCGGTGCGCACCTGCCGCGCCGAGAGGGCCCCTCGCAGGGCGGTCTGGAGCACCCAGGACAAGGAGGGGAAGCAGGCAGAGACAGGAGGCGTGCTCAGCGACGGGTCTGACGCCACAGTTGGAGCCGTTGACCAAGTTCCTGTGATGCTTTTCTTTCCATTCTGTGACCCGGGGGTTCCGGAGGGGCGGTTTTCACGCTGGGGGGCACAGGGGTGCTGCTAGTGGTTGTCGCGGGAAATCGTAGAAAAATCATCAGGCCGCAGGATAATTAGAGTCCAAACCAGAGGAAGGACACCCCAGTGTCGTACGGGAAGACAGCAGCCCATACAGACGCCACTGAGTGTCTCTGAGAGCCACCTTCTCAGGGCAGGAGCTGAGCGATTACTGAACAGTTGAGTAGTTCTGCGCCTCCCTGTCCCCAGGGACCGAGGAAGGGGACGGAGCTGGGCCCCGGGCCGGGGGTCTGGGAAGCGGCTGCTGGGCTTCCCGGGGCACTTCCCGCACCCCTCCTTTCTTCACCCCACATGTGTTCGCTCCATGACTCCTGCTTTGGAACCTGAAAACAGAGCGTGTTAGCAGAGCTTCCACCTTCCGGGCTGAGGGGAGCCCTCAAAGCCTAGTGGCAGAAATTGCAGGAAGATGACAGTTGTAGTGTAAAGAAATTGATGGCTTTTAAGCAAGAATTTCAGGGGAGGATATTAGAGTATGCTTTGCAAATGATATACATATATATTTATATGTATAATATATATGTGTGTAGTTTCCTTACACTGTCTGGCTTAAATTGCTCTTTGGTAATTAACCATCTGTGTTTTATTGTGTTCAGATTTAAGCCAGAACATACTTTTTGAGTTCTATGGAAAACCAGTCAGATATATATAAGTGTGTGTGTGTGTGTGTGTGTGTGTGTGTGTGTGTGTCAAGCCCACGAACCATGAGATCGTGACCTGAGCTGAAATCAAGAGTCAGATGCTTAACTGACTGCTATTTTGGATCCCATTATTAGTGAGGTCATGAGGGATTTGCGTCTCTCTGTCTGCCTTACTTCACTTAGCTTAATGCCCTCAAGCTGCATCCGTGTTGTTGGAAACAGCAGGATTTCCTTCCTTCTTATGGCCAAATAATCCCCCATTCCAGTCCCTCCGAAGACAGACACCTGGGTGGGCACGGGGTCTTGGCTACTGTGACCACTGTGCTGTGAACATAGGGGTGCAGATCTCTCTCCAGAGTAATGCTGTTGTTGAATTCGCGGAGCTGCTGGATCACATGGTCCTTCTATTTTCAGAGTTTTGAGGACCCTCCATGCCATTTTCCATAGTGGCTGCACTCGTTTACGTTCCCTTCGGTTTCTGAAAAGTGACGAAAAGGCTGGACCTTTTGATGCTTAAGTACCTGAGGCTGCCCTGGGCTGGTCTGATAGATACTCTGCAGCAGCAAATGCATCATGGGCTCTGCGCGCAAAGGGAGGAGCGTCAGAGATACCATCCAGCCGAGGAGGAGGGCGGTGTGGGGACCTTGTGATGCGCTCCTGGATTCCTCCGCTCCTTGAACTTGGCCTCCAGTTAGGTGTTACATCAGTGCTGTCCCGGGTCAACAGACCCCAGGCCCCTCTGCAGCCTGGTCTCTAGAGACAAAGTTCTGCCCAGCCCCCCCCCCATGCACCTGCTCCTGAGACCCTACACCCCCTTCCTGTGGCTCCACCCGCTACCATCCACACTGCTCATCTCCCCCTCAAGCACCCCCGTCAGCGCATCCTGCTTGGGGACGCTCCGAGCCCCACACGGGTGTGGGCGCGGGCCTTCCGTGCACCTGCTCACCGCTGCTGCGGCTCACAGACCAGCCCCAGCCCGGGGACCAGTCTCAGGCCCACCCCCCACATGGGGCCTGCGCGTGTGCACTCCCTGACACTCGCGGAGCACATGCACGCATGCCCTGACGTTCACGGAATTCCTACTAGAACGGGGCAGGGGCGGGTCTGCTCTGTGTAGCTCACCGTCAAGAGGCGGGGAGGAGAGACTGCCCTGGTTCTTAAAGTGTGTTCCGTGGAGCCCCACGGTTCTGTTAGGTGGTATAGACCTAATGCGGTGCTGAGGCCTCAGAGCTACTGCAGTGAGAACCCTGCTGCTAAAAATTACTAAAAATCATTGCCCAGCTGGAAGAATGCTAGTCGTACCCTCTGAGACAGAACGTACTGCCTACATGCTGCTTTGCGGTGCTGGGGGGTGGCGGCCCTGACCCACGACTCGACCCCCCAGTGGGGCCACCTCCAGAAATAACTGGCCCACGGCGTCAACCCTGGGTCAGAATGGCAGGTAAACCCGGGGCCGGCCGCCCGTTTCTCTGGGAATCTCAGCAGGTTCTGCGAATCCCCTCATCTGCTCACATGATGTGGGTCGGAGGCCCTAGACGCTTCATCCCAGCAGGTCAGGACCCTAGGGGGTCGCGTCCTGCAGAGGGACCCCAGGAGACCGGTGATGCGGCACCAGTGCCCTCCTGGCGAGGTCTGCTTCCTGGCGCCGTCGTGACACGACCTCAGGTGGTGTCCTGAACAGCGCGGATTTGTTCTCCCACAGCCTGGAAGCTACGAGCCCCAACCCAGGTGTCAGCCGAGCCCTGTCGCCTCTGACGTCTCTGGGGAAGCCGCCAGCTCTTGGTGGCTGCAGGCTCCTCTGCGTCACTCTGCTTGTAGATGTGCCCCTCTCGTCCCCTGGTCCCCGCCTGCTGGTCACACGGCCTTTCCCTGTGTCTCTGTGCAAATCTCTCTCTAAGTCAGGACACCAGTTGCTGCCTTTGGGGCCCGTCCCTCACCTGAACTTCGCTGTATCTGCAGACATAGGTCAGGTGCAAAGGTCCCAGGGGGCGCGGCCTGTGTCACCCGTACGCGGGAGCGAGCCTTAGCGGGTCCTGCACACCTGGCTCCGCGGTGTCAGGACGGGGCACACAGCCGGCCTCGTGAGCCGCCCCGCACAGGGCAGGAGAGCCGTGCCCCCCGCAGCGTCGCCGGCTCCGGACACAGCCCGGCGCCCGGACGGAAATGCCACCCACGAACGAAGGATGTGGACGCGGGTTCCCACCCGCCCCCCAGGAGGCTGGGGCGTCGGCCACACGCAGAACTGTTTCTCTTCGGGCTACGACCCTTCAGAAGCTGACGGAGAGCAGCCCAGAGGACGTCCCTGCCGTTGGGGCTTTCGCCTCGTCCTTCTGTCGTCCAGGTTGACCTTCCTCAGAAGACCTCTGACGCCCGTCACTGCCGGTGTGCAGCGAGGGGCCTCAGGATGGCGCTCTCAGGCTCTCCCTGGGGGCCGGGCTCAGGGCCCAGGCATCTCCCCGGCAGTCCCGGACGGACCAAACGCACGCCTGGCCGTTGCCCGGAGCGAAACTAACCCACACAGGCCTCATCGCGGTGCGTCTGCTGTGCCTGAGGCACGAGCCAGAGACACCCGTCTGACCCTGCTGGGCCAGCCACAGCCGCCATCTCTTCCCTAGGAGCCGCCCCCACTAGGGAATCCCAGGAAACTCGGCCGTGGCTGTTACTCACGGCAGAGGTCACGGCTGCCTGGTGCCGTCCGCGCAGTGGGCTGAGGCGTTGTGCCGCCACGTTGTCCCAAGTCCCTCCACCGCCCAGGCTGCCCCGCGAGGCCTCGCTGCTTCCTCCCACCCACATCCGCCCCCGCGGGGCTTGGAAGTCGCTCTGCGTGGCCGAGTGGTGACATAACACTTGATAAATATTTTTACTATCACCTCTGCTGAAATGTAATATTTTGCCATGTGTCCCCTTCCTCCTACCTCTGACAAATAGTAGGTGGCCAAAGCAGAAGAATGGTCACAAACGGAGCCACACGTATCAGTCGGTGTCTTACTCTACTTTCTCTTAAGTATTTGATGCTTGACTAAATCCTCCAGAGATCAAATAAAAAGCTTAGCAGACTCAAAGCAGAGGAAAGGGGCTGACAGCCGTCTCCTCCTTCCACGAGGCCTCGGCCGCTTCCGACCCATGTCCCCAGCACGTGTCCGCAGAGGGCTCGCGGCACCTGGCCTCACTGGAGGCTGCGTGCCCTCCACCAGCAGCACGGCCTCTGCGGCCGACCCCTGACCCCACGAGCCACGGCCGACCCCTGTCCCCACGAGCCGCGGCCGACCCCTGTCCCCACGAGCCGCGGCCGACCCCTGTCCCCACGAGCCGCGGCTGCCCCCTGCCCCCAGGAGCGAGGTGAGCGCACGGCCCCGCCCCAGCCTTAACCCCTCCCTGTCCATTGAACAAAGAGCAAGTGCCTCTTCCTCTGGGCAGGAAGGGATACTTCCCAGAGTGACATGTGACAGGTGACAGGCTCAGGGGAAAGCCAGGGGCTTCAGGTGACCCCTGCCTGCCTCTCGCCCCCGTGGTTGACAGCTCGGTGAACGTGGGCGAACCCAGCTGTCCAGGCCTCCCCTTCTTCCTCTGCCTGCTCGGTTGTGACAGCGGAATGAGCTTCTTCGTGTCCAGCTCAGCATCGTCCACTCAGTCATCAAGACTTCGTTTAACAAGCACGGACTTGCAGCTCACTCTAAGCCAGAATCCGGACGGCAACACGGAGAACAAAAGATTTTAGAAACTCCCTGCCTTTGTAGCAAGTTACAGTTTAGGGCGGGAGTCTCACAGGGGCAGGACAGGAGGAGGGAGTCAATCCACAGCCGGTCTATGCAGCAGGCTGCACGGAGAGGACTGTAGCGGCTCAGAGCTGAGCGCAGTTGTGGGTGGGTGACCCGGCCCACGGGCAGGTGGCGGGCAGAAGACCCCACAGCAGGCACCTGGGGGCCTGGGGGAGGGTGGTGAATGTGCCCCAGAGGGCGCCGGGATCGGGGGGCAGGTGCAGATGGTGGCCGTCAGCTCCGCGGTGACGTCTGGTATTTGTTTTTAGCAAGAACAGCATCGTCTGACTTCTGCGTTATTGGAACCCCTCCAACCAGATGTTTTCGAGCTAATGCAGCGAGATCAGGTCAGACACAGCCCCTGAGGCAGGACGGGTGCCGGCTCGGGCCGGGCGTCCTAGAGGGAGGGCGGAGCAGCGCACTGCGCGAGCGGGAGGGCGCGCACTTCAGCAGCTGCTCCGCTTACCAGGTTTCAGAGCCGTGAGACTCACAGTCTGGTCTCTGCAGGAGGCGGGGACGTGGGGTCAGCGTCCAGCCGCAGACTCTGCAGCAAGTCACACTCAGGCTGAGCTTCCCCAGGATACAGTCAGGCCGCCCCTGGGTCAGGAGCGACCGGAACAGGAGGCAGAGCGGGCCACCGGCCACGGCAGAGGCCATGGCCTGGGTGCCTTCTTGTCTCTTCAGAGCGGGCCACCGGCCACGGCAGAGGCCACGGCCAGGGAGCCACCCTGTCTCTCCCGCTGGGGCCGCCGGCCACGGCAGAGGCCACGGCCAGGGAGCCACCCTGTCTCTCCCGCTGGGGCCGCCGGCCACGGCAGAGGCCACTGCAGGACGGAGACCGTGTCTATGCTCACTGCTCTGCAACCTTGAGGCTCAGAGCAGCACCTGATGCGTGTGCTCCTGATGCACGAACACCTGATACACGCACCTGACGTGAGCACCTGACATAGATGCCTGACACACACACCTGACACGTGTGCACCTGACATATTCACACCTCACACACACACCTGACATGTGCACACCTGACACATGCACTCCTGACACGCACACATCATGCACACCTGACATGCACACCTCACACACCTGACACATGCACCTGACATGCACACACCTGACATGCACACCTCACACATGCACCTGACACATGCACAGCTCATATGCACACCTCATGCACAGACCTGACACGCACACCTAACACGCACAGCTGACATGCACACACCTCACGTGCACACACCTGACATGCACACACCTCATACATGCACCTGACACACACCTGACACATGCACAGCTGACATGTACACACCTGACATGCACACCTGACACATACACACCTCACACACCTGACACATGCACACCTGACACACACACACAACACACAGTGCAGACGTGACAAGAGAGGAAGCAGAGTGTCCTGCTGCTGCCTTGAGCCGCGTCCCTCACAGCGGTGTCAGCGCCCAGACGCCCCCAGGTTTGGGTGAGGCCCACCCACGGGTTCTCACCTTCATGTCTGTCTGTAAGGCAGTTCCAGAAACAAGTCAGGGGCTCTCATAGCGTCAGGCAAATGTGGGACCTGGTGACTGCGTCGTGAAAGCCATCTGAAGGTGCCCGAGATTCCTAGGTTCTCCTTGAAAAAGGAACACTTGTTAGGACGGCTGCGTTGTGGGCCCGACGCCACCAAGCGGGGCAGCTTGACCGTCACAGAGCACAGCGTGCGGCAGCAGCCGCGTGTGGAGTCGGTTTGGTAAGAGCCAAGCGTACGCGTTGCACACGGCCAGCAGCTTCTTTCCTGGGCGCCTCCCTGACCAGAGTGAACACCAGGTCCACATAGCATCCGTGACACACAACTTCGCAACAGCTGAAACTGGAAACACCCCCGTGTCCCTCACTGGGCGAGCGGCTAACAAGCTGGGGTCTGTCCACACAGCCGAATCCTGAGCAGCCACAGAGAGGAGGGAATGCATGCCACGCACGTGGCAGGGTGAACCTCACACACATGGCCATGGCTTCACGCATGTGGTGGAAAAAGCCAGACTCAAAGCCGCATGCCGTGCGGTCCCATCTATATTGCGATCTTCAAATGGTGAGACAGATGACAGAAACCAGATCTGTGCTCGCTGGGGGCTGCAGATCAGCGCGGGGGCCCCGGGGACTTCTTGGGGTGTCGAGGGCACCCCGCACCGATCACGGTGTTTTCGGTGACTTTGCTGCACGCACCTGTGAGATGCACTGCTCTCTGTGCGGGTTACTCCTTGACGACCTGACACTCAAGAAATTCCGTTAGCCCTCCTGATAATGTCCTGGAAACGAGGGAACGCACAGCGCACTGCGCCTCGGCCAGGGAAGCAGAGGAGCGGTGCGCCTCGAGGCCGGGCTCAGAAGCCAACAGAGGCCCCGGGAGCAGGCTGGGGCTCGGCCTGTGGCGCAGGAGGGCCACACGTGGGGCCAGCCTGCCCCCGAGCTCTCCACGACGATTGTCTGGGTCACGGCTCTCTCCAGACCGCAGCCTTCCACCCGTGTTTCGTGGGGTCATGATGTCGTTTAATAGGAGGCACTTTCATCCCAGGAGCTGGGCGCAGCGTCCACACGTGCACCCCAGGGGCCCCCGAGCTGGGCTGGAGGCCGCCCTGCGCGACGGGCACCTAACCTGCGCTCTCGGAGCTGCCCCCAGCTTTTAAGCATTTTGGTCTGCGGCCCACTCTAAGAGACACACACTCCCCAAGGACCCAGAACGCCAGCAGGTGCGAGCGCACACGCACACCTGTGGCTCCGGAACAAGCAGTGACCTTCACTACACGGTGCCTCAGTCCCCTGCCCTGCTCCACGCTCTGCTTCTAAACAGAATTCTGGCCACCGGCTCAGAATTCGACGTCCACTAATAGGTCCCTGGCTGCAGTTTTAGAGAGCATTTCAGGACCGAGGCTGCTTGTGAGCCCTCGGGGAGGGGCCCTGGGGCGCCTGTGCCCCGGCTACCCGGGTGAGCCTGAGCCCACGTCCACACAAAGTCTGACAGTCCTTTCTGGGACTCAGAACTTCCCTCAGCGGCACGAAGCCCGTCAGACGCATCTCCTTACTTGGAGACACGCCCTGTTGTTGCGCCGCGTCTGCCGCCATAACGCACTGTGGCTCTGTGTCCCGTGCTGTTGTCACCATGTGTGGTGGCCCCATCCTGGCTCCGTCCCGCTGCCAGAGTATAAACTCACTGGGTGCAGATTGGTCTGTCATCTACTGCACGTACCCTCCTTAGTTTTCAATAAACGGTGGCTTCCCGTGGCTGAATACACTTCACTACAGAGGTTGGTTTCAGCTGTAATTCAGTGGCATCTCCCAAGAAATCGTACAGGGCAGCCTGATGCCAGTTTATACCCTAAACTGTGCAAAGCAGAGCGTGTTGGGGGTGAGTCAACTGGCAGGAGCCCTGGTTGCCGCGGCCTTCTGTTTGCAAGGAGCACCATGATGGCTTGCTGGCTCTTCCAGCTGGATCGATGAAGGGCAGGGGTTAGGTCCCGTCCGCTCCGCTGGGGACCCCACACCCGAGCCCTGAGCAGTCTCCACCTGGCCCGAGCCTCTGCCGAGCTCCCGGCCATCTCCAATCTGCCCCAGCAAGCCAGGCAGGGGTGCGGCCAGAGCACCCCCTTGTCCGAAGGGAGAATGGGGGGGAGGCCTTCCGCTGGCACTGGGAAGTCAAGGAAACGTTCCCAAAATGAATTACTTTCACCCACTATTTCATGATATTTCTAGACTGTGATTTATAGAACGTTTACTTTTGCTAACCAAGTGGAAAGATTCAATTTGCAGGTTCCTTTTGTTTTTCTGCAGAAAATCTCAGCAGTTCCTTTTCTTCGTTAGAAAGAAAGATACTGTCTGTAGTTACTCTTCCAAAGTTTGATCTCGCAGCCGACAGCACTGGTCGATCTTCCTCTGGAATAATGGAAGCTCTAGGGGCCCAAAGCCTTCTTCAGAAGGGGGTGTCGCCCCTGGGACGCAGCTGTGACGGGGGGGAGTGTGAGCAGCATCTGAAGAACACACGGCCGCGTCATCCGTTCTCTGCCACAGCCGTCCTCACGAGCTTGGCCACGGGAGACACTCCCGTGGACACACGTGGAGCCTCTGTCTTGGGATGAAATGGCCCTGGTTGGCTGTGGTGAGGTTGGGGGAGGCACTCAGGTGCTTCTTAAAAACCATCCTCAAGTCTTCCTTACAAACACACCTGTGTGAGAAACACGGTGGAATCTTAGTGACATCCCCTTGCACGTTTAAGCCCATATCGAGAAGGGCACCTGAGGGGCTCGGTCGGGTGAGTGTCCGACTTTGGCTCAGGTCATGATCTCATGGTTCTTGAGTTCGGGCCCCGCATTGGGCTCTGTGCCGACAGCTCAGAACCTGGAGCCTGTTTCAGATTCTGTCTCCCTCTCTCTCTGACTCTCCCCCATTTGTGCTCTGTATCTGTCTGTCTCTCTCTCAAAAATAAATGTTAAAAAATTTTTAAATAAAAATTTTAAAAACCCATGTCAAGAAACAAATTCGATCATATATTCTGAATAATTCTCCTCCCCTCTGCACCTTCGGGATGTCGTTTGATCTAGTCTCCGATGGCCTCCTTAATTTTTTATAGTTTCGCTGAGCCAGCACGTGTATTTGGCTGAGTCCAGCTAATTTCCGCGGAACTCGCCTTGGTGTTTTAGTCACACGCTTCCTCCTAGTTCCTCCCCCACGTAGCTTTGGTATCGCTACCCCCCGGTGACACTCCTGAGAAGTCAGTCTGCCTCCCGCTGACGAGCCTTTGCGAGGACCCTGTTCATAAGGCAGTGTTCTCTTGCCCAAGTTTTTTGCCCATTTTTGCTAAGTGACACTATGCATCTTAACATGCTTGCTTCAGGTGATGCTCAGAAATCCAAATATACATAAATACTGGCTTATTCTTAGGTAATGCACGGAGAATAGAGCACCTACTGTATGCACAGTTTACCTTTTTACTCCTGCATGTGTTACATTGATCGCCTTTTACATCTAAGAGGATTTGGTTCATCCCACTGGGCAGGTTCCGTGGTGGAGGTGGGGGTGGATCATTCCACTGTGTGGCTCCAAGCTGGAGGTGTGAGGTCGAGTGGAGAAAAGGGTTCCTAGATCTTCATGCCCGAGGGGTAGGAAGGATACTTACCTGCCCACAGGAGGGGTGACTGGAGACCCGCCCTGTTTGCATTGATCAGGTCTTAGGATAGGGCGACGGGCACAAACCACGACATAAAATTCCAGACAGACGTGGCACGAACGCCGTTCCCCTGACCAGCTTGTGGTGAGTGTGCGGACGGCGGGTATCCTGGGGGACGTGGGCTGCCCCCCACATTCCTGCTCTGCGCGCACCCACAGAGCTCTTCCCTCCCCTGGTCTGCAAACCTCCCCCATGAGCACCCCCCACCCCACTCGCTCTTAAACCGTGAAGAATCGGGCTCTTGTATTGAAATTCTGGCTCCGACACACGGCTTGAAAGGTCGAGCGCCAGGGCCACATCGGTCTGTCCGGAGCACCCGTCCGACCTGCTGTCAGGTTCCTCACACTTTACCCGTCTACCAGTCTGCACAGGGGGCTGTGGACCCCAAACAGCTGGCTCGTTTCCTTACTCATGTTTCCATACGTGGACTGTGATGGGCTTGCAGACGCGGGGCCCACAGTACGTGTCCCCGTTCTGCCACAGGCTCCAGGCGACGTCCTGTCCGTGGTTCCCAAGCCTCCTGCCCCTGGGCACTTGCACCCCGGAGGGCGCAAGCAGGTGTTAGCAAGCTGCGCAACCCTCCAAGGTGTGCGGGTATAGCCTGTTTTCTCAGGGAGTCCGTCTGTGGTTTCTAGAAGATTTTCAAAGGTTCGTCAAGACTCTGAGACCACGCTTTTAACTGAGCTTGCCTGGGGGAGCCCTCAGCGGCCCACCATCCCTGGCCACTCTTCCGCCTCACGGCTGTGCATTTTGTTTCTCTCTCCGTGTGCGTGGCTAAGCGGGAAGGCCTTATTACTGCATCTGCCTCCTTCGCAAAGATGAGTCTCTAGCCAGGTGCAGGTGATGAGGGACACTTGGGGCGCAGTGTGAAACGGAGCGGAGACCTAGCGTCAGACACACCACAGCCAAATAGGACTCGTGGGGCAGAACCTCCAGATTAGCACCCCGCGGAGGACGCTGGGGCGATGAAGTCCGTGACCTCCCCAGGACCCATAATACCAAGTTGTGGCCCCTAGGACCAAGGGGCGGCCAGCCTGGTGACACTCCCAGTGTGGCAGGTGCAGGTCAGCGAGACGATTGTTCTGAGTGACCTGGGTGACCTCAGGCCTCAGAGTCAATGACTCTAAAACGAGGTTCCATTTCATAAACTGAAGGGACGCCTAAGCTTTGCTCGGTCACCAAAAAACACAAACGGGAACTGTAAGGGGCACATGTAATAAGAAGCTGACCGAGCGATAATTATCCCTGCTCAGATCTCTTCTCCTCTGGCTGTTTTCTGGAGGAAAACAGGCTTTTGCAGGAGGAAGCTTTGCCGTGAGTAGTTGATAGGATTTGCCGCCCACGTGTGAGCCGTCCCGGAACTGTAAATGGCTGACAGAGAAGCAGACCCATCGTTAACGGGGTGGGGACAGAGTTGACTCCCTGGAGGACATGCTTCATGAAGCAACCGCGAAGGCTGCGCCCTCCCCGGCCCTCGCCTGTGGGTTCTTGGAAGCAAGGAACCTCGTCGTTTTGGTAAATCACTGATTTCTGTCCCCCTTGCCCTTCCTGTCGTGCGAAGGGTTGGCCAACCCTGAGACGGAGCACATCAGCGACTGCGAGAGTCTCCTCCCGGGGCCTCAGCCACGGCTCCTAAGGCCCACGCTGGCGGGTGTCTGCCCTCCACGGGGCTTTGCAATCAAGTGGTACAAGTGGCAGACCTCTGTTTGGAGGGAAGACTTGGAAGCTGTACGTTCCCTGGGATTCGTGGGGGAAGGATCTCGGGTGCCTGCCTGTCTGCGCTGGGTCGTGCTGGTGTGGGGACGGCGGCTTCCCAGGGACGCCGTGCAGGGGCGGACGTTTAACTTGCACGTTTAGCAGAACTGTGCTAAGCCCACATCTCTCCCTGCCTTCCATTTGATCGCGGGAGGAGCCCTGCAAGGCGGCCGAGGCTGTCCGTCTCCAGAAGCAGGGCCGTCGGGCCTCAGAGCCGGCATGTGACACATGGGCTTGGCCCCCGTGCTTCCCTGATGGACAGCAGGGATGACGGCTTCCTTGTGCTGCGTCCAGGACCACATTCTTACCGGGCAGGAGCTGTGCACAGATGGGATGGGACCGATGCATTCTCGCCTCTTGCTCCAAAACAGCTTAAACCAAGAGAGAAGACAGTAGTTTAAGCAAATACCCAGGTCAGCTAGGGCTTTGGCTGCCCGTTGCATCATTTGTAAATGGTTTGCCAAAGAGGAGAGTTCTTGTTAAAGAAGCTGGGCAGCATGTCTGAACCTTCCCCGGGGCCGGTGTCCTTGCGTTTCCCGCACAGTCCTGCACGGCACAGCTGGGCCACCCGGTGGCAAGGCCCTTCCCACACCAGGCATAGCCTTTTCTTTCCACTGGCAAAGGTTTCTTCCAGAGAAATCTTAGGAAGAAAAGTCTAAGCTCGATTACGTTTTACAGGATTTTCTTTGTAAGGCACTCAACTTTTAGAAGATGAATGTTAAAGGCTCCAAATCTTGAGCTGACCCATAAAATTCCACTCATTCCACACAGAGGTGCCCTGAGCATCAGCCGGTCTCAGGCCTCCCGTCCCGTCCAGTCCAGCAGAGCCGGCATGGTGAGGAGGGCGCTGGAAGGAGAGGTGGAGGGAAGGCCCTGTACCTGGAGGGGCCGGGCCGCGGCACCGCTGAGCCCGCACGGGGAGCAGACCCAAGGCCCCTGATGGGTGCCGTGGGCCTCGGTACCCGCGACTCACCAGCGTGCACGACTTCCTGCAGTGTCGCCTGCCGCAGCCCTCACCCCGGCCGGAGCAGTGCCCACAGCTCCCGAATTGAGCGCCCACATGTCTGCAATGGAAAGTTCCATGGTGATGACTGTAAGACTCTGAACAAGTTCTGTAAATCTTCGTTGCCCAGAGACACTTGAATAGAAAGAAAAACTCGAAGCCTGGTGGCTGAGCCCTCCACCAGGCAGGCTCTGTGGACCCCGCGCCCCGGCTCCGCCCGAAGCCCGTCGTTGGAGCACCTACAAACCGCGGGGCTGGCCGGTGCCCCTGCAGCCCGGGAACGCTGGCCACGGCGCCTCCGGGGGGGGGGGTGCCCGCCCTGTGGGCTCCAGCTGGAGGAGGACACCGTGGGATCAGGGCCTTTGACAAATTATTTCTGTTTATTCCATGAAGCTAGTGGTTCTCAACCCTGACTGCAGCCTCGACTGGCCGTGGTGCCATGAGCCGAGCCCGGCCGGGCCTTGGAACGTGCTTTCTCGGCGATGTCTCGTCATCGTTGATTCATGGCTAATAGCTCGGCTGGAAATCCAGCGTCAGTGGTTCTGTTGAGTTAAAGCGGAGCCGCCTCGCCGGTCCCGAAGTCACCAGGAGGCCTGGGAGGTTCCTGCGAGTGGCTGGGGCCTGGCTTCACTCTGTGGGATGCAGGGGTGTGGTGGCTCACTGCATGCAGCCGCGTAGGTATGGCCTTACCAACGGTGAGGACGGAGGCTGGAGTTGGGGCCACAGCAGACCCGAGGGTCGTTGGTAAGAGAAGGACGGAGGTGGAGGGTGACAGGTGTCCTGATGTTTGTTAGAGCGAGGACAGCCCTCCAATTAAGTGAATCAATAGGTGACCCGCAGTGAGTTAGCTCTGAGTCGCACGCCTGTGGCTACCGGCTGGACAAAGAGGCTGATAGTCTCACTAATTACAAGTATAGGAACCAGTTGAGCAACTCATACAAGCTCCTCGTAGGAATCAGCCAAGGTTTAGCAAATAAAAGCACAGAGTGCCCTGGTAAACTTGAGTGTCGGGTAAACAACAGATGCTGCGTGGGATATAACCAAAAAATTACTCTTTGATTATCTGAAATTCAAACAACTGGGGTCCTGCATGGGAAGCAGCAGCCCTCTCTAGGGACACCGCGTGAGCCCGCGTCGGATGAGCCGCCCGTCAGAGACGAAGAACAGGTTTTGGTCTCGACGGTGTTCGTGCTGATCTCTGAGACCCTCATACAACGTAGGTTCAGGCAGCAACGACTAAGGTGGGAAGGCCGGGTTCTCCGAAGCTTTACGGAATGCCCCTCACTCTGTCTGTAAAACAGTATTTCCGGTTTAAACATGACGGACAAATCGTCATGCAAACTTTGGCATAAAACCTCATTAAATACAGAAGGTATTGCAAAGGTTTTAACTCCACATGCACTTGGAATTTAGATTTCAAACATATTACATGAAATATAATCAGTGTCACTTTTGAAGTGAGTAATGTTCAGCTTCCGCAGCAGACAGGTACAGTTTCATCTCGAAGCCTTCACATATTTAAATAAGAAGCTGTCTGCTTTTCGCCTCAGCAGTTTTAAGCCTTTCCCCCCAAGTCCAGAGAAATGCAAATGTCAGTGGATGTTGCAACTGGTTGTAACTGAACTCCTTGGAAGAGGGTCCTGCAGTTTGCATGAGTGCACGGGGCTGGGGCGGTGGTGAACTTGACTCCATGAGCCTCCGGGCCCGGGAGCCAGGCCGTGAAGGCTACCACTCGCACACGGCCTGCTCCGCCACCACCTGCTTTGAGAGCCTTTATGACCCTGGGAGTTGGGGTGGCCTCCTTAGTGACTTTGAGTTGTTCTCTTAGTCTGACTTGGATGACATATAACTATGAGCAGAAATTCTGCAGACTTCAGGGGCAGTTCTGCGGAGGCTTGATCCTTGGTCCAAAATAAAATCGTGAGCATTCCGTGGCTTTCAAAGAAAAGCCATTAGTAATCACTACAGTAGCGGCTGACGGCACAGCTGTGAATGGAAGAGGGGAAGTGAGCATTCAGGCTAATCAGTGTCTTTGTCCTCACGGAGCAGAAATGAATTCTTAATTTAAGCAGCCTTCAAATCCCATCATTAGGGAAACGGCTAAAATGCAGGCTTCAGTGTGCCTTTTTTAAAGTAAACTTTTAAGGACTGGGGAGGCTCTAGAAACTGGGCGGACTGCTGGATTGCCAAACTTCGTGGTTACTTCACTGCTCCGCGGAAGCAGCTGGCGATCGTCACGCCTGAAGCCTGGGGCCACCTCACGCTCTGGGGGTGTCACTGCGCCCATACCAGTAACACCAATGACTCCGCGAAGCCCTGTGCTGTGCCTTTTCTGTCTATGAGGAGTTTCCCGACCTCAACCACATGGTCGGGAAGCTCAGCTTCACGGGGAGACCCATGAACTTGACCGCTGGCCTCCACACCCGCACTATCCCTTAACCAGCACACAGGTGGCATTCGGGGTGGAGGCTGACGATGGCGGGACCGAGAAGGCCGGGTGGCCAGACGGCAAGACCGTGCGAGTTTGCAGGCGCCCGATGGACAGAGGCAGCGGTAGCTTCCCAAGGGAAGGCCTGGGGTCAGCTGGGCACAGCGTGGGGGCGACACGTGGTCTCAGGGACATCAGCCGAATTTTGAAACCTAGATTTGATAGCATATCTTCCAGGTCTACTCCCATCAGAACAAAGCCCACTGTCCCCGCGGTAAGAGGAAGTGAGTGTCCCCTTCAGACAGCGAGATGAGGCCAGCTTCCCGTGTCCACCTGCTCTCGGGGCCCCCGCGCATGCCCTCCAGCCCTTCACCCCGGGGTTGCACGGAGGAGCCTCGCAGGCACGGAGGGCGTGGAGGCGGGCAGCCCTGCGCTCACGCGTCCTGCCCCGGCGCCGCGCTCCAGTTTGAGTTCTGCGTGGGTCTGAGTGGGAGTGGGGTTGTCCCCACTGCTCAGCATGGAGTCGCGGTTTTGGCGAGGACGGGCGGGGTGGCTTCACCGCTCTGGGCCTTTGTCAGCTCCGTCAGGACGCGGGTGTGCCCTCCCGCCACCGCCGGGAAGCAGGGGGTACACGGATTGATAAACACACACACACATGCACGTGCGCGCACACACACGCACACACACACACACACACACACACACACACACCTCGCCCGGGGTGGGAAGTGCGATGGAGTCCCAAGCACGGTGGATCAAAGTGTGGCATTGTGTCCTCGTGGTGTTTACGAGGTGCTATAGTGCTGGATTCCTTTACAGCAAGAAACTCAACGTTTTCTTACAAGCAGTTTTCCTTTTCCTGTACAAACACTGTTTTTCCTTCTACCTACTATTTTGAAGGCTTTCCTGTTTCTTATTATTGATTCCGAGTTGGCATGATTGGGAGACAACTCTTCCCTTCTCCAAAGGTGTAATTTGTACCTGTGCTTACGAGGGTTTAGAGACCCAGAAGTTGAACGCGTGTATCTTTTCTGAGCCTCCCAGTAGGAATTTACGGATCAGGTCTTTATGAAATGAAGGGTCACTCATGGCTCACACCTCCACCCTGATGCCCCCACATCGCGGCCTGAAAGGGCCCCGAGCTGCTGGGCTCAACGGGACTGTTCAGAGACGCCCCCCACACTACCCCCCGGCCCCGGTTTCTGCGTCCATCATAGCAGAGATGCTCAGGTGTCCACCGACTTCCGTGAATGTTGGATTTCGTCTGGAAGTTGGTCTGCCTGGGCACCCTCGAGCCCCAAACCATCTCTCTCCCCTCTCCAACCCCTTTGTTCGGGGGGGTCCACCTCTTTCCAATCCCAGCCCAAGGCCGTGGGCTTCCTCTCGAGGAAGGCAGGGCAGAAGCACGTCTGAATTGGACACCAGTCATGGCAGAGGCTTGAATGCACCCAGGGATGACAGAGAGAGAGGATCCAGCCGGGGCTGCCGGGGGCTGTGTGTCCTCAGCTCGTGTCCTCAGCCTCTCTGGGCCTCAGGTTCCTCATCAGAAAATGTCCATGCTGCAACCAGCTGACCTTGCTTGTGGGACCAGCCATGGGCGGACGCCATGCTGCCCGAGTTTCCCTTCCAGCGAGTCTGACGGTGCTGTCACCGCTGTGGTGACGGGGGCGGAGGGGGAGGAGGAGCTGTGACTCCCCTTTGGAATGGCAGTGACACCGTGTTTACTGAGCGTCTCAGGCCCCTACCTAGTCTGCAGGTGATTCCAGAGACGGGGGGGAGCGAGACACCCTCCTCGCGCACGCAGAGTTAACGGCCGGCTCTGGGGAAGCACCGCGGACACAGAGCCACAGAAAGGCCTGATTAGATTCGCCCCCCGGGAGCGGGAGCAACTGGATCTCGTGTCAGAGTGCGCTGGGCACCCGTGTCACAGCTTGTGGGCGTCCCTTCAGGGCCACGGGAGCAAAGACCGAGTCCATTGCGCACATTTAAATGTGTGGGTGGAGGGTTTCCGAAACATCTCGGTCTGCGGCACGTTCTTATTTTTGCTAAGAAACCGTGATGGACATGTTCACGTGACCTCAGACGGGCACTTCGTTTTCCAGCATGGAGTAATCTCACGCCTCAGCCTGTGCCGTTCCGGCCCCTCCCGGCTGTGGACGGCGGCAAACCAGGGCGCTAAGTCCAGGCGGCTTATAGTCAGTGTGTTCAGAAGGTCTCGGAGCAGAGCAAGCAGAGCCGCTGGCCCAATGCCGCCACGCTGGCATCTCGGTGACCTCGGTGAGGCAGGGCGCAGACAGTGCAGAAGACAGACATGCGCAGGTGGGTGTCCCTGGATGAGACGGGTGTCCCTGGACCAGGCGGGTGTCCCTGGACCAGGCGGGTGTCCCTGGATCAGCACAGGCAGTCGAAGCTGAGGCCTGTCACAGCAGGTGTCAGAGCGGGATGTGTGGCCCGCGCCCCTTGGCTCGTCCGTCGCATGTCCAGTGGCACCCAGGGTGGGCGCTGTGGGCGGCAGGCACACAGGTGCTGCCCGTGCATCTCGGCGGCGCTGCTGTCCGGGTCCAGTTCCGGTTCCGGCTGTGCGATGGTGTGGACATCGTAAAAACACCTCTAAACTGAAAGACAAGGCCTGGTGGGGTGAGGCGGGACGAACCGCTGGTTATAACAACACACACCTGAAGTGAAGCCTTTCTGCTAGACGGCAAACCGCGCTCAACCCGTATCCTGGTTGTTTTACCTGTGAAGGCTTAGCCAGGTCAGCTTGCTTCCAGGCCTTCCTCAAAATGGTCTGATATTGGGGCGCCTGGGTGGCTTAGTCGGTTGGGCGTCCGACTTTCGCTCAGGTCATGATCTCGCGGTTCGTGGGTTCGAGCCCCGCGTCGGGCTCTGTGCTGACTGCCAGCTCAGAGCCTGGAGCCTGTTTCAGTCTGTGACTCCCCCTCTCTCTGACCCTCCCCTGCTCACGCTGTCTCTCTCTCTCCTAGAAATAAATAAAAACATTTAAAAAATAAAATAAAATGGTCTGATAAAGGATGGGAGTGGAGGCAAAATACGCAGCTAGTCATTCCTACCATTAAAAGTCAGGACTGACCTTCAAACCCGCTCACCGTCACCCGGGGAGTGTTCCTGAGGTAGAGTCGGGGCCCCGTGTTGGGTGCAGGGTGACTACAGGCGAGCGCGCTGTGAGCACCGTGTGAGCTTTCTGTCGGCGGCCTACGTGTGTGACGTGTCTCGTGCATCTCGTGCGTGTGATTTCCATGGCCAACGCCGCGTCCGCTGTGCAAGCTCACGCTTCGTTGCTTTCTGCTGTGTACGCACGTGTCTGAGCGCGAGAACGAGGTCTGCAGTCGGAGGCTGGCTGTTCCGCTTTATTCTCCTGTTTCCTTCCCCCCAGCTGATGCGGACTGCTTCCCGCACGGTCACCGTGGCAACCGCATTTCATTAGAAGTGAGCATTCTGCTGCATTCTAGTTCTAAACAAGCGAGAGCACTGCCGTGTCTGGCCTAATATGATGCCTAACGTGCTCTTCTGACCGGCCGGCTCTGGAGCAGACCGGTCACGAGCCAGAAAACACAGCCGGAAAGCGTGCAACGCCGCCTTTCCGTGGGACGATGGGGCATGGTCAAATCACGTTAAATGATTTTACTAAGCTCTCTTGTAAAGTAGTTGACCCAGTTCACACGCTTATTATTCACATATAAAAGTACGGCACGTGTAACTTTTAAAGCAACGACTGGAAGACCCCATAACGTGGAATTCTACTGCGGATTTGTGTGCGAAGTGCCTGTAGCCTCGGGGGCGCCTGTCACTGCCAGTCTTCTGTCTGCCTTTCTTAACAGCCCGTAAACTTACAGAAAACGCTGGTTTGCAGAACTGAAGATGGTGATAGCCTACGTGGGTTTGCTCACAATGCACTGGAATGAATCCTTTTGCAGACAATAGCATGGCTAACCATAGTTAATATTACTGGCAGGATATAAGTGTGGACTATTTATTTGCGGTAACACTTATTCATGAATATTGGAAGCCTGCATAAATGCACGTGGAAAAATTATGGAATATATGCCCAAATGTGTATTTATTACATACGTAACGTATCACCAGAAGAGCCCTTGCCTGAAGCTGCCTGTGTCCGTGTGGAGATTAGCCGACGACGCCTGTCGTTCTGACTGGGTGTGAGGGCCCAGGGCCCCGGGCGGCGGCAGAGGGCGGGGGCCAGCAGCCCTCTCCAGCCCAGCTCCCCGGGGCCAGCCGGGTCAAGAACCCAGGTCCCTGCATCTCTCTGGCCTCTGCCACCCCATCTGGGGGGGGGGAAGGGCAGTGCTCAATGACCCCCAGGACCCTTTACCGCCACATGATGATGTCACGGCAAGGACGTCCTGTCCGCTTTTGCAGTATGTGCCAGTGACCGGGTGGACATCGTGCTGCAACAGGAGACAAAATTATATTGGGGGTGAAACTGACCTTAAGATTAACTAATATTAAGCATGAACATGGTAACTGCAGGCTTTGAATATTGCTGAATGATGCCTCAACGTAGAACTTTCTGGACGAGGGAGGAAGTGTCCTCCTGGGTGGCCCAACGCCCCCTGGGGATTGGAGGGGCGGGGGGCGGGCAGAGTGTGGCCGAGTCCTCAGACAAAGTCTAATAAATCTGCGGAACAGCTCAGATCTGTGATCTGTTATTTGTCAAGCCCCAGGTACAGCTGGGAGTCACGGGCGCCCTGCCTCGGTGGACACCTTCGTGCGGGAGCTGTGTTCACAGAGGGGGTGCCCGTGCCGAGGGCGCGGCTTGCGGGGAGCTCCGAGCAGTGGCCCTCGGAGCAAACACGCACGACTCTCTCGCGTTTGGGCATCGGGGGGCAGAGTGTTGGGGACGCGCGGAGCTGACTACCACCCACCCCTGAAACGTATTAAAGAGTGACTCTCTCTCTCTCTTACAGAGGAAGAGGGCGGGGACCTGGTCCAGCCGGGCATCAGCTTTCCGGGGCCAGCAGAGGAGGATCTAGGTAGAGTACACAGCTCGGCCCTGGTGACTGCACACATCAGACATGGCGGGCACGGCCGGGGCGGGGTCCCCGCACCCCACAGACGTGGTTCCCACCACAAAAACGGGTTAAGCGAGCATGTGACTTTGCGCATCCTAATTTGAAGAACTGAATAAGATGTGGTGAACATTTTACATGTTTATAAACATTATATAAGCTATAGGTGAGGATGCATTTGCTCCAGATCCTCACAGATTAATTACTAAGACAGCTAATTATTATTAATAATTTTTCAGCTATTAGCATCATCGATACATGTGTAAAATGGCTCCTCTCTCCTTTGCTCCTTTGTGACTAAAACTTGCTCTCAGTAGGTCTGAGGAAGGGAAGGGCTCTCTATTAATGGTTTTACGTAGCTCTTTCACCTGACCTGCAAGAGCCGATCGCGTGGGCAAGCCCGGGGCACACGGGGTGTGGGGGCCGGGTGCGGGCATTCGCTCTCTTGCCCGTGAGCTCCGAGCCCCCGTCGCAGCGTACTTCCTGCGGAGATTTTATGTTTATGCCATCGCAGACACAATACAGCCAGTGCCCTCTTTGTCCGTCGTCACTTGACGTGGATCACACTTACATGAAAAGGGACTGGTGTGTCTGTAAGACGTAAACTGTTGAATAAATTAAACATCCGACTGCAAGTGAGAAAATACAGCCTACCTGTGTCCCCATGCTCTCCGCCCTGCCCTGTGCGACGGCCCGAAAGATGGCCAGGCTGTCCCCCCAGGTCACCGCGGCCCCGTGCCGTCACAGCCTGGGGGCCGAATAATGGGACATAAGGATCATTTAGCTTGAATTTGAATTTTACTTAATTTATTTCAGACCTTTAGCCAGTGAACCTATTGCCCATTTGATTGGCCTAAAGAATAATATTGCAAATTGAAAGAGACCATTTGTATAAAGCTGTGATTTCTTTTAAAGAAAATTAGAGGCAAAAAAAAAAAAAAAGTTTTCTTTTTCAATGAGATTATGAATACAGGCGTAGTTCTGAAAGAATGACAATGTATTTTCCTTGTGATCAACTGCGAAATTTACTTCTAACTTGCCATTCTAAACAAGCCTTTCTTCATTCGGAAATATGCAAACCAGCCTCTCCCTAGAGAGCGAACTGGCTCATGCGGACGGGCCTGTGTTACTTTTCGTTCCACTCGGTGGCGCTCTCCGTCACCACAAGCTGTCACCAGGAAGCGGGTCTAAACAGGGACTTCGGTGGTTCACCTGCGCCTGAACATTTTTAGATCATGATGGTGCCTATGGTGACAGTTCCTTACCTGTGACAGCCTTAGAACGGGGCACACAGGCCAAAACAGAGGAGGGTGTGTGTCTTTAAGCCACATTTGGCCGGCGGGGATGTGATGCCGGAAGGTCAGCGTCCGGGGCAGGCGCATCCCTGAGAGCTGTCCGCCTCGGGGGAGATGCCTTTTCTCAGCTAAATCACGGCGCGCTGGCCTTGTTTGGGCCGGGACGGCGTCCACGGGAGAGGCGTAGGTGACCAGACCGTGGCACAAAGCTAAACACTGTGGGAATCGCACTGGAAACACAGGTCCCACCCGTGTTCTTACTGCTGAGTCCCAGATGGGGGGGTTTCAGTTTGTTCCGAGTCGCGTGAACGGAGCGTGAAGGGGTAAGTACGGGGCGACTGGAGGGGTCAGAGCGGCTGGCTGGCGGCATGATCCAGGCTGCGTTGTACACACAGAGGTATTTTTTTGTGTTGGTAAAAAAAGCGCAACATAAAATTTATCATTTTGACCCTCTATAAGTGTGCGTTCAGGGGTGCAGGATACACTCACGGTGTTGGGTGATTGTCACCCACCCCCACCCCCACGCTTCCCGTCTTCCCAAACCCAGCTCCGCACCCCGGAGCCAGCACCTCCCCCACCGCGGGGCCCACACTCCCCTCTGCTTCCGTGAGTTTGGCTATTTTAGGTTCCCAGTCTGGGTGGGGTCATGCAGTATTTGTTCTTCTGTGACTGGCTTCTTTCACTCCGTAGCGTGTCCTCAGGAGTCGTCCATATTGTAGCAAGTGACAGAATTTCCTCCTTTTTAAGGCTGCATAACCCTCCATTGAATGGAGAGACGGCATTTAGGCTGCCCCTTCGTCCCTGAGCGGACACTGTGTCACTTCCGCCTCGAGACTACGATGCCCAACGCAGTCGGGTGTACAGAAGCCCTTCAGGACCTTGCCTGTGTGTGGGGCGTATGCCCACGAGCAGAATTGCCGGAGCCTAATTTTGTTCCGAGGAACCTCCGTGCTGTTTAGGGACAGAAGGTGTTTGGTGAGCCAGTGAGGCCATGAGGTGATGATAACAAGAAAGTCAAGAACAGTCGGAGTTTAGAGGCTCTGGACGGAACGGAAGACGAGGATCTGGGGACCGTAGGTCACAAGGAGCTGGCAGGCACACGTCGGGTCTTCCCACGCGAGGTGCCGATGGGCAGCGCAGCGTGGACTTGGCGGGAAGGGGGACAGTAGGACCCGCGCAGGGAGGCCCCAGCCAGGGACGCGTACCCGTGAGCCCGGCCGTCCTTCTCAGCCCGTTCACTGGGACACTGGGTGTCTGCCGTGTGGGCTGGAGCCGCCCGGGGTGTTTAGAAATACGGAGAGCCGGTCCCGTGCAGGGACGTCCGGTGCATGGCTGGGGCGCTGGGGGTTCCCTGCGTGATTCGAGTGCCCCCAGGGCGGGGAACGCCCGTGTCAAGGGCGCGAATGAGACCCCCCTGGACAGGAAGGAAGCGAGGGTGGCTCGGCGGGAGGGGAGAGAAGGGCTGGGCCACGCTCCCACGGCTGCTGAAGTCGCCAAGCAGGAGCAAATGCGACTTGTAGACTTTTTCTCTTTTTCAGATCGCCTCTGCCCGTATCCCCTGAGCCGGATGGCTCCTTACGGGTCTTCTGTCTTGAGTGCACGGCTCCCCCATTCTCCTGCCCCACATCCACGCGTGGCCCGTTCTGCAGGGCGGTGGCGAGGTTACAGGAGGGGCGAGCTCCTAAAATTGTCCTTCGTGACAGATCATTTAGTAAAGAAATAGGACCATCGGCTCTCTGCTCATCCTGGGCCCCATTAAGGACGGATGCCTGCTGTGAGGCTCACATGATACAACGTATGAAATTAGGAAGATAAAGGTTTCTTTAAAATTAATCTGAAGTCAGCAGTAAAAGTGAATTAATTTAGCACCTTCACAATGACTACAATAGCCGAGAAAAGCCGACTTCTTCCAGGGGAAACGTTTGAGGGAAGACCTTCAGACACCCCGAAATCAAAGTGCTCTCCCTGCCGGTAATTCTCGAGACACTGTTCTCTTGAACGTTACGTGTAAATCGGTTGTAAAGAGTTGGCAATTCATAAGCATTTATGAGGACTGCAGTATTGGCCCAGATTTTACACTGGTGAGTCAACTGTAAAGTAAACATTTTTTTAAAGGCGAGATTAAATGATCAAAGAACAGTCGATACCTATTATATGAGACACGACACAGGGAAAATGGGGGGGGGGGGCTGTGCAATTTAAAAAGTACTTGAATATTGAAGTAATAATTACTGACACAGACAGCCTTCTGTGGGGCAGACGCACATGTGTGGATATATTCTTGTCTAGTGGGGGAACCCCCCCCCGTTATCATTTCTGGTCTGCGTGCCATTTAACCACACACATGTCACACGGTATTTAATTATACAAAACTTATTTTAAAAGAACTCCCTTTCTAGATGGCGCACCTGGATGGTTCAGTCAGTTGAGCGTCTTACTCTTGATTTTGGCTCAGGTCATGATCTCAGGCCATGGGATCCAGCCCCGCGTCGGGATCTGCACCGATATCACAGAGCCTACTTGGGATTCTCTCTCTTCCTCTCTCTCTCTGTCCCTCCCCTGGTCACAGGCTTACTCTCTCTCTCTCTCTAAAAGAAAATATTTTTTCTTAAAAAAAAATTCATAAACACCCCTGGTAATCTTGTAGGCATGTAGCTTTGTAACTGCATGGACATCCACACATATTCCCTTAAGGGAAATTCCTAGAAGTTTCTAGAAACAGTAGATATAGTGCCACGTTTCTGTCAAGACCGTGACTGTGTGTTCATTTGCTGCACCCTGCGCTGTGTGGAACCCCCTCTTCGTCCTTCCCCGCCCCCCTGTCCTTCACCCCCACGCACCCAGGACATCGGGCTTCCTCCCAGTGCCCGTGGGAGCCCAGAGGCCACAGGGGACAAGAGTCCTCCCCAGGCTGTGATGGCAGCAGTTACTCTCACATTCTGCAGGAAAGGTTAAGTGTCAGTCAAGGGAGCGTTCCAAATGACTATTGCTATATAACCATTTCACGTTAAAACTTCATTTCTATACAAAGAAATCAAAATTAGTTTTTAAATTGCTAATATTTATTATTTGTGGAAATTAGGATATTAGGAATTTACATCTAAATTTCTAAAATGCATTCCCTAGCTTTCACCCTAAATATCAATTTTTAACTTGCACAATTTCCGGGGCTGGTTGCTGCCTAATGAATTACAGTGTCTTTTCCCTGGGTCAGTTCCCTTCCTCAAACAGTAAATCTTTATCGATTCATTCATGCCTCCACGCACGCATGCCTGTGTCCCGGCTCGTTCGGGCCACGGTAACAAATGACCATGGACTGTGTGGCTTGTAAACAGCAGCATTTACATCTCCCTGCTCTGGAGGCTGAAGTCCGAGATCAAGGTACCGGGGATTTGGGGTCTGGTGAGGGTCCTCCCTGGCTCATAGGCTCCATCTTCCCAGGAGTCCTCACCCAGCAGGGTCAGGGGGCTTTCTGGAGTCTCTCATATAAGGGCATTAATTCCTCATGAGCTAACCACCACCCCAAGGCCCCCGCCTCCCCACCAATGCCATCAACATAAATTCTGGGAGACGCAGACATTCTTCATTCACTCATTCATCCTAGCAACACAGGTTAGTGTTCTCTGGTCTGCAGGGTGCTCCCACGCCCACGCGGACGCCCAGCGGGCT